TAACTAAATGTGCAGTACTGAAAGTTACTGCTCAGTAGCACCGGCGCCTGGTTATTTAGTGACGCTTACTACGCATTAGCCTAATAATACTGCATAGTAAGCTATTAGCATGGTCTTTGCCATGACACGCTACTGCGCAGTGTTATTCGGCTAATGCACAGTAAGCGTCCTGTGTATATGCACCCATTCAATTAGTACCTGTTATTACAAGTACTAAGTTTAATGTGCAGTAGCCACAGCGCATTAATGAACATGCAGCTGCACCCCGTGAGACACTTAATCCCAAATTTGTGACTTAAGCAAGAGGTTTAGGAGTTTGGACTAAGTGGCTCTTGAAATCCCTTCCAAACCTCTCCATCCAGTGACTTCACAAAGGTAGTATTAACTAAGAACTGGATTCACCCAGGCAGCAGGCATATCCCCTTTGTAAACACTGCAAACTCTTAGCAGGCAGCTCTTCTGCTAGGGTAGATCTGGAATCATGCTGCGTATGTATCTGCATTAAATAAGCAAACTTCTCACTCTTATTCAGCTTTAAAATACGGTTTCTTAGCAGGGGCTTCCCAGATGATAAGCAGAGGTTCGTGGGGGTCACTTAAAAGCCACTGTGACTGGTGACTTCCACTATGGCAGAGCTTCTCAACCACAAAGCCACAGCCCAGTACCAAGCCACAAAGGGTCAGAATCACAGAATCACAGAAAGAAGGGCCAGAAGGGATGTGTAAGATCAAGTCCGGTCCCCTACCGGAGGCAGGAGGTAATTGGGCTCAAATGAACTGAACGAGGTATTTGTCCAGCCTCTTCTTAAAGACCACCAGAGATGGTGACTACATCACCTCTGATGGAAGTGTGTTTCAGAGTCTAGCAAACCATACAGAAAAGAAGTTTTTCCTTATGTCCAGCCGAAACTTTTCCTTGACTAGCTTTTGTTCATTGGTACACGTCTTCCCAGGGGTAGGAAGGGGGCTTTTCTGAAAAGTTGTTCTCCTAGACCCTGGCGTTCTCCCTTGACATATTTGTAGGTGGCTATCAAGTCACCCCTCAGCCTTCTTTTGCTCAGCCTGAACAAACCCACATCCCAAAGCCTCTCCTCATACGGCCTGTCCCTCAGGCCCTTGATCATGCGGGTGGTCCTTCTCTGGACCCTTTCAAGCTTGTCCACATCCTTCTTGAAGTGTGGTGCCCAGAGCTGGACACAGTACTCCAGCTGTGGCCTCACCAATGCCGAATAGAGGGGAAGAGCGCCTCTCTGGATCTATTTGTGACACAACTGCTGATGCACACCAGAGTTATATTTGCTCTGTTGGCAACTGTCACACTGATGGCTTATATTCATCCTCTGGTCAACTGACACCCCTAGGTCCCTTTCAGATGCAGTGCCAGCCAGTGGACCACCACCCATTGTATAGATATGGTAAGGGTTCTTCCTACCCAGATGAAGCTCCCAGTATTTGTCCCTGTTGAACCTCCTATGGTTTTATTCAGCCTATAGGACCAGCCTGCCATGGTCTTCCTGAATCGTTGGCCTGTCCTCTGATGTACCTGCTCGTCCCCACAGCTTGGTATCATCCACAGACTTAATCACTGCACTTTTCACTCCCTCCTCCAGGTCATTAATAAAGATGTTAAAGAGCATGGGCCGTTTAGTCGTGTTTCTTCCAGGTCCAGACAGCACTGACCTCTGGGGTACACCACTGGAGATGGCCTTCCAGGATGAGATCATCCCATCCATTACAACTTGTTGGGATCAGCCACTGAGCCAGTTCCCAACCCACCTCACTGTAGCCTGGTCTAGGCCAGTACTCTCCAACTTAACTGAGAGGATTTCATGGGAAACAAAGGCCTTGCTGAAATCTAGGTGGATAACATCCACCTCCTGTCCCATGTCCAGGTGATTAGTTACCTGGTCATAAAAGGATACGAGGTTGGTTAGGCATGACCTTTCCTCTACAAAGCCATTCTGGTTGCTTCTCAGTACCCCACTGGATGCAAGCTTGTGGTTGATGGCCTCCTTGACAATTTTTTCCAAGATCTCCCCCAGGACTGAAGTCAGACTGACTTGTCTATAGTTGGCAGAGTCATCCCTTTTTCCCTTCTTAAAGATGGGACCTACGTTCACTTTTTTCCAGCTGTTAGGGGCAACTCCTTAGGGTTGGCTGCCAGTCCACAGTATGCCAGTCGCTTCTGGTCCACAGTATGCCAGTCCGCAGCTTGCCGGTTTGCAGTTTGCTGATCCACAGTATAAAAAAGGTTAGGAACCACTGCACTAGAGTGAGAAGCCTTTTTCTGGAGGGGCTGGTGATGAGGAGTGGCTGCTGAAACCTGCAGACACTGTTGCCTTGAAATATTCTGATGTCATCTTGTGGTTCATGGATACTGAGAGCGTCTATATGTCCATGGTTACTCCACAGTAACTGAAAGCTACTGCACATTATTGGTGCACTTCTACATATGTGCGCCTGTACTGCACAGTAACTATGGCGACATACACCAACTTGGGTGTAAATTTGCAACCTGCATGATGCATCAGTTACTGCACTTAGTTACTGCACAGTAAGGCACATGTAGACACCAAGGCGCAGTAACACTGTTGCGTGTGGACTGACTTGGGAGTAACTTTACTTCCAAGTCAGTCTACACACAGCGTTACTGCACTGTAATGCCTACATGTGTAGACTCTGATCTAAAAACCACTTACTGCCCAGTAACTTACTGCGCAGTAAGTTACTGTGCAGTAAATGCATGTGTAGATACGTCCACTGTCTATCAGGGCACTTTGCATCATATGCTGGCTGCTTCAGAAAGCAAAGCCTACAAGAAGACCTTGTCCAGGCTGCTGAGAGAGGATCTGGTTGTGGTGAGAGCTCACCAGACTTTGCAGTTGTTGAAATATTTTGTTGCAAATTCTTTCAACCATATTTTTTTTCCTGAAAGAATGGAGAATTATTTTCTTAAATGTATTGTTGCCTTCTAGATTTTCATTATTTTTGACAGAACAAAAAAAAAAAAAAAAACACATTCTATTGATTCAATTTTTGAAAAATAAACACATATCACTTTTTGTATGATGTTTTCCCCTTCCTTTTTATTGTCCTTTTTCTCTCCATCCAGCCTCCCTTTTGTGGAGAGAGAAAAAGAGAGAAATGGAGAGAATACCCCCAAACCTCCCATGCCAAGCACATTTTTAGTGCTGCAAACTAAAATGAAACAAAAAAAAAAAAATCAAATCAAACTTTATGTTTTTAAGCAAAAATGTAAAAAATGCAAAAGAAATCAAGGGTGTGTTGGGGTGTTCTTCAAAATTTTTCATTAAAAAAAAAATTAAAAAATCAACCAGCCCTACTTTTCAGCCAACCACAGAACCCTAGCTTTGGATTTTTTTTTTTTTTTTGGTCCAATGCCCAGAGGACTGACATATTGAGTAAATTAGGCAGCCTCTGTACTTGGCCAGTTCTGCATTACAATGAGTGTAATACCTACTGCATTGTGATGAGGCTCAGTTAGCTACTGTTATGAGGCCTCATGTGAAAGGCCTTTGGAAAGGGAATCACTATAGCATTACTGCCCTGGATATTCGAGGACCATAAACAACCCTTGTTTCAGAACAATTTAGACTAGCACAGCACATGCTCTGTGCTTGAAGTATATAACCGTCATTTCTTCCCCTCCGGCACTTTATTCAAGGACCTCACTAAGCCTCTAGTTCCATTTCATGCAGAGGAATATTCAGAAGATTCATCAAATCCAACTGAGTTCCTGTTTGGCACAAAGTGTCTCGAATATGAGCTGCTCTATGCGAAATGGTGCACTCTAGAATTTTAAAAAAAACCACTCGTTTCCCTGTGTGTTTAATTCTCTCATTTGTATGAACATTTTCTGATTGCAAATATGACATGCCTGATAGGCTAAGGCTCAGTGATCCGGCTATTAACAGAGTCCAAGGCAAAGTAATGGGGCCTCTGAAAAGCTTCAGAGTGGGAGCATTGCTTAATAAATGAGTGCAGCAGAAAAGGCATAAAAATAAAGCTTAAATTGTCCAAAGAGGGGATGCCAGCACGGCACTTGGCACAGACAGGATGTATAGGACATGCTGATGAGCCCTGTATGCCTATGGGTGAAGCATTGTACATTGTATTAATTAAGGAAAGATGACTTCCCGCTTCCCCCGTTGCCGAATATCACCAAGAATCACCCTGGGACAACATCTAACATTCTGGAAATTAATTTGCACTTCAATTTATGCATTTCAGAGGGAGGTAAAGCAAAACCAGATTTATGACTCATCTCTTCCCCCCACCGAGGGCTGCTTCTCTGGGCTTCTGACACCATCCAGAGGAGAGCAAATAGGTCATTTCGTTCTTTGACTTTTAACTAGCAACTGAGAGAGGGAGAAAGGGATAGGGGGAGAACGAAGAACTGCTTCAAGATAAACTGGGAAGAACAAATGCATCAGCGCATCTCTTTGCTTCCCGCCCCGCAAAAGCCCGCTCAGTTGGGTGGGATCTGGCAGCTTGTTCCAAGTGAGACGCGAGATGCTCATTTATTCCGACAGCCGTAAGAGGAAATACAAAGAAGCAGGAAACGCAAAGGACCCTGGCAGTTGAGAAGAGTTTCGCAGTTGCAGGTCTCTTCCAAGAAAAAGTAAGTGTGTGTGACAGTGATGGGCCAGAGAAAATATTAGATGTTAAATGAGCCATCAGAGCCTCCAGGAGGGAAAAAAAAGGGGGGGGTGATCAATCCGAGCAGGAAACACAAAACCCAAAACCACTGGAAATAGAGATGGGGTGGAAATATGAATGGTTACACTGGGACTCTTCCTGCGATGGATGCGGATGAAGCCCAATCACCAAGTACAAGGCTCTGAGTTCTTAACACGCTCCTCGATCTCCACGGCTGGTATTCCTCGAAGGCAAACAGCCTAGATGTCACCTGCTATTTCCCCAGCACTTGACTCATTTCAGAAGCAGAAGTTTTAGGTCTGTGAGCAAGCTCCATGCCCCCCTGACCTCTGTGTGCAAGCGGGGGGGCACTGTGGTACAGCCGGGGGGGGTGCAAGCAGAGGAATGACTGGTGCACAGGGTTGGGGAGGCTTCAGAAATCAAATGGACGGCTGTCCGGTCCCTCCAGAAACTTATGTAGCCTCCATCACCGTAGTATCTGGACATGTATGCACCATGTGATATATTATCCCCTTTTTCTTATACGCTGGTGGAACTGAAGGCAGATTAAATGATTTGCCCAAGGCCACGCATGGAGTCTGGCCTGTGTTGGGAACGTGACCCACATCTTGCTTGAGACCCAGTCAGTGCCACAGCTAATAAGGCATCCTTCCCACCCCGGCAGCTAGCACTACAGCATCTGAGCTGGTGATCTTGGTGCTAGGTTAGCGTTGATCCTAACCCCTGAAGTTACAATCTACAGGGCAGTAAGCGTGATCCAAAATAGGTCTCGGTCCCCAAGTTAGAGAACAGCCCATTTAGTCGTGTTTCTTCCAGGTCCAGACAGCACCGGGAAGGCAGGCAGCAAAATTGGAAAAAAAAAAAAAAAAAAGGCTTTGAAATAACAAGTTAATATCAAGGTTTCTCAGCCCTTATGTAGGCTTCGGATAGCTTTAAACCTGGCTTGGGGTGCAGGCATGGGTTATTTTTAATATGAGATAGTTTCCTCATCCTGAATCCCATGCAGCTCCACCTGGCCTCTGTTATGGACAGTTTAAAAGTTATGGTGTTTAAGAAAAAGGTGGCAAAAAATGTTTCCTGTCACTACAGGTCATTGTCCTGGAGAAAGAAAGGGCTGAAGGACCAGGACAGAGCAGGGGGGCAGAAGCTTTAGCTACCGAGGGTGTGCAGAGAGAAAAGATCCTTCTATCGTTTTTAATCTGACTCTTTTTACCAGCACTAAAGAGACTCACCAGGATGGAGACCAAAGGAAAAGCAGCTGGAGGCTGTTTCTAAGCAAAGTCCAAAGAGGGGCCCATGAGTAGAGTCAGAGCGCAGCGCTTTTTAAAAAAGAAAGGACAAAGCTGAAGCGAGTAAACTAGATTTTAAAAAAGGGCACGTGAGAATCCAGAAGGATTCACCCACATTTTCCACGGAAGTGTCCTTCAGCACAGAACTGGGTTTTCAACCAAATGAAATAAACTCGAGAAAAAAATACTTCCTTTCCACAAAAAAAACTTTAGAAAACTAAAAACCAAAGAGCCTTTAAGATGACTGAATTTTTTTTCTGCAGTTTTCAGATAAAAGTTTCGAGTGGGGTTGTTGGTTTTTTTAAATAAAAAGATGACATTTTCATCAGTGAGGAAAATACAATTGCCAGAGGCCCCTTTAAAGTCTATGCCCACATCATCTTTACCTGGCATATAACGCGCATGATGTTTGAGTCCCGGAGCCTCGGTTACACCCCCTCCAATTAGTCTCTGAACATGGTCCAAGATATGCGTGGCACACGTTTAACAGGGTCTTTCTCCGCGCGGTTTATTAGATCCCACCCATATGCCCACTTCTGCAGTGTAATGACATTGCTACGATGACCTGCCATCTGGTAGTCCAGTTAGTCTACACATACATAAGGCACGGCAACCCGAGTCGCCGACTTCCCAACCTTGGTCCAAATCTGCAAGAAGAACAACTGAAGGAAATTTGGCTCACCTGCGTTACCGAAAGGCATCTGCCGTTTAAGCAATAAGGTGCTTCTTGCACGCGTTAAGTTCTCACGTAAGGATGGCAGGATTAAACTAAGCTCACTCTGCAGAGGAGGCTCGGGGGAATACCAGGGAACAAACGGATGGAGTTTTCAATTTCTTCTCTTGCTGAGAATGAATTCTGCCTCATAGAGCTCCTGATGGATCGTCATTTTAAGAGGGGCTGTTAATTTGCAACAGGCAGAGGGCATAAAGAGGGATCTCCTTATCTTTAATGGATGGTATTGAGCGACGCAAATGGCTTGCGTTTAAATGAGTGTGGAAACATCTTGTCTGCTTTGGCATGATAAGAGACTGTGCTTACCGCGCGCAGCATGGGTTCGGCTCAGCCTGTTACATAAAAGCACTGTTTCACTTAATGACAGGCAAACTTTCCAAGGTTCGGGTGGTCAAAAAATAAGAATCAGGATCTATCTGACTGTCCTCAAGAACAAAAAAAACAACCCCACTTTGAAGAGCTCTGGCTCCTGATTTCAGCCTGAAATAGCCGCGGGAAGTAGACGTGGCCTGTAGGAGGGAGCGTTGCCTTACTCCTTGCATCGTCACCACAAAATTTCAGCCCCGAATTTCAGCAAAAAAGCTTTCCAGAACGCAGGCAAAGGGATGTGCTTGCAAATCTGAATGAAATGTCTGAGCCGTGACTCAGGAATAGGGAAGGGGTGAAACGAAGGTGTTTGCCCAGTTCCTTTAATAATTGGTTCGAGAAGTCCAAAAAAGAGGCGGTATCTTTTATTAGACCAACTTGGGGAGGCAAAAGAAGGTCTTTAATTGCAAGCTTTCGAGCACAGACACCTTTCATCAGGTGAAAAAAAAAAGCAGGGGAAATTTAGGGCTGATTTTCACAAGTGCACAGAAGCAGCCAAGCTCTGCTACCATTGAAATGAGTGGGAGTTTTAGCATCAATTCACTGGGAACGAAGCTGGGCTGTATGTACTAAGGAAAATCCCTGGGATAGGCCCCTAATCGGGTTGCATCCATTTTCCAAATGGCTTCTGGCAGCTCCAGCCAAAGGTGGTTGGGGGCCACTGCGGAAAAATCAGCCAGCTTATCTGGGAGTCTAAATCAAGAGCATCATTTCACTCTTGCGTTTGCCTAAATCTGGGTGGTGAAACCCACCGCACGGACATATTAAAAAAGAGATAGCCCCTGCTTTGATCCCGAAATCCAGGAGGTCCTGTAGTCTGCGTGTTTCTAGGCAGCGTCAGGCCCCGGGTTGGTATGCATGCTCTCGAGGGAAGCTAATGTGCCTCTTTGCTTGCGCACAGACGCACTTAATGAAGGCATCCAGCAAGATATTAAGACATGCTCAAAACACTTAGGCTGAAAAACAGAGCAATTACGGGAGCGTGGTGCAGAGTAAGGTTCAAAGCAAAGCTAAAAGTATGCAGAAAGAGAAGCAGCCTGGATCAAGCCAGCCAACGGAGGGTACAAAACCAGTAGCGACATGCACTCCAGCCGGCTGGCCTTTGGTTTGCTCCGTCAAGCTATGATGATATGGATGTTCCCCATCTGCCTAAGGGAGATGCATTATTGAATGTATTAATTATGGAGGGATGGCTCTCGGTGCTTCCTACTACAAAATAACCCAGAGAATTACCCTGGGACTGCCACTGCCAGGCTGGAAATTAATTTGTGCTCAAGTGTGCATGCATCAGGGAGAAACAGCGTGAAGGCAAACGAAGGAGGGCTGCAAGGGTCTGCCCAGCATCAGAGGGTGGTTCAGGCTTTCGCCACAAGCCTATAAACAGCAGGACTAACTCTCATGTCATGAAGCCTACTCCTTTGACTCGTGAGAGCTTGCAACACATGCAAGCAGAAGGAAGCTCCTGGAGAAGATAAGTTCAGCCCTTGGCTTCCCTTCTACAGATACCAATAAGAGGGTGAACAGCGAGCAGAGAGTCTATGCCCAACAGCTCGTTTTGTGCACAGCCCGAAAGCACATTAGCGCCGTTCCCCATCTCTCCAGCAAAGAGCCCATTTTTGGGGTACAAGGTGCAAAGCCTGGAAATCCATCATGTGGGGGAGGTAGGGAAAAAGGGTTTTAAAGCCCACCAGACAGGGCTCCCTGGAGGCCAGCAGGACCTTCTCTCTGAGGCTGTCCCCATACCAATTTTCACCTACTGCCCCAAGCAGGACCTCTGGGATGGCATAGGAATGGGCTAGGGGGATGCTCATCCGCCTCCGATGAGCCTACAGAGGAAAAGTCCCATCTACAGCAGTCCTTTCCCAAGGAGGTATCTGCAAACAGCAAGAGCTCTGTGCTGCCTGAGCCGTAGCAGGACAGAGCTGCGGGGAGGCACAGAGCCTCCTCGTGCAGGTCCCTGGCCTCCCATACATCCAGTTAGGGCTGGACATGTGCAATTTGGCTAGCTGCATAAGGTGAAAGCAACCCCTTGGAGGTCTTTCCCAAGAAGATTCATTAGGGCAAGTCATCCCCAGAGCGTTCCCACAGGACGTCTGACAGATGGGCATCAGTAGGGATCGATGGTCCGTGTCCTACCCGGGATCACCAGCGGGGTGCAAGGCAACAGCAACTGGCCCCAGGAGCACAGAGGCCCTGAGAAGGCATCAAATGAGGACGACTTTCAGTAGCTGCAGACCTCGGCCACAGCAGAACTTGCGACATGAAGCAGAAGGCAGCACATTTAAAACCAACTAAAAGAAATATTTCACCTCCAGCCCGACATGCTGTCAGCCCGGGGCGTTCGTTGCCATGCCATAGTAATGTCAAGAATTCAGAACTCGGCTATTTATATGGAAAAGAACATCCCAAGTTACACGAGTAAGGATTTAATAAAAAAGTGAGGGGTGTATTACACCTCACCCGCCAAGGCAAAAGAAACCCTTTAAAGGACAGGGTCAGAAAGCACCATCCCTTCTAGGGAAATACTTCCAAAGTTGCACCTTGCATGCACGTTCCTCTGAAGCAGCTAGTTCTGGCAGCTCGTCGAGACAGACATGGGATGAGATGGACCACAGGGCTGACAGCATATGGCTGTTCCCATGGTTCTTCTCCTAATTATATCTGATGGGTACCATGGAGGAAAGGCTTATTTACATGCATTTCCTCTGGACATCTTGTAGCGGTTAATAAAGCAGCTTTACAAAATGAGAAAGCTGCAATCCTCTTGACAACGTTGGGTCTAGGAGACTTGGTAAAAAAAAAAAAAGAAAAAAAAAATTCTGACTGTGATTTAAAATGTGATATTTACCCAAGGGAGAGGCATAATGCATTTAAGAAAAAAAGAACATCACATAAGTACACATTCAAGCAACAGAAACCCTCAAGTCCTTTTTTCAATGCATCAGCTGTTATTCAGAGCTCAAATTGATAGTGTTAGGGACTAATTCATATACCACATTCCTTTTATAAACTGAAGCAATTATTCAGCTGAGAAGGTAAAAATGCACCAAACAGTAGCAAATGCCTTTGTTTCTTTTACTCCCATATACATTGAAAACCACTTTATTGTCCAACTAATAATGTTGTTGTTGGCGAGGGGGGAGTTATTTCCAAAGAGGCAGCCCAGGTGAGGCCATGTTCCCAAAGAACCTGGAATAAACTGGGTAGGAAACCCTGGGGAGTGATTGCAAACTGGGAAATGAAGCGTCGACCTAACCTTAACGGCAAGATAGCATACAAGGGGAAGCTTTGCAACAGCCCAAGATGGGTTTGCAAAGCACCTTGGTGGGGTGGGGTGGGGTGGGGTGGGGTGGAAGGAGAGGCAGAGACTGAGGAGTGGGGGTAGGGGCAGAGAATATGGGGAGCTGCGGGTGGAAGAAGTGGGTAGGGCAGAGGACAAGGGAGCCACCTGAATCTCACCCTCCCCCCCACCTTGCTGTTGTCCCTGCTATAGCAGTGGAGAGGTGGGATTCAAGACAACCCCCCATATTTAGATTCTATACCTGGAAAATGATAACAAATGTATAAATTCTCTCTATATAGCATCTACCTATTGGGGGGTTGTCTTATGTTCAAGGTTGACATATATTCATGCATAGTGCCATAGCAGCGAAGTTTGGGACCCAGGGCAAAACCAGAAACAGCAGCCCGCCCTCATCCCACACAGATCCGGAGGGCACACCCCACCCCCATGTTTGCCCGGGAGTGCACGCAGTGGCGGGACCTGCCCTTCCCCCGTCCTCACACCACCCAAAACTAGCCGCTTGCAGCTCAGTCCCACACCCCACCCTGGCTGGTCAGCATCTGTTGGCACCCCTTTGCTTCCAGGGTGGTCACCCCCCTTGTACCTCCCCCCCTTGCTACAGCACTGTTCATGTGAATACAGTATCAGCAAACAGGCACATAATAGATTGAGCAGCATTTTTCTGTTTCAGGTTCAATTCTTTTTTTTAAATAAAATTGAGATAAAGTTCAAAATGAAATGCGAGTTTGAATGGAGAGTTCAAAGCATTTCACTTCGGAAACCGTTGAAACTGTATGTTTCAATTAATTTAGACTTGTTGAAGGGGTCTTTTGACAGAAGCAATTTGTTCAAGTTGACATACATTCATGAGTTGTCCCTGTGGACTGAAATCTTCATTTTTTCAACCAAAAAAAAGTCTTTGGGCCCCCCAAAATTCTCCAGCTCTACACACAAGTTTTACACCCACCTTTGCCACTGAGTGACTATAACTGTAAGCAAGTCAGTTTGGACCTGAGAACGGTTAAACACCCCACGCCAACTGAAATCAGCATTAACGCATTCTGAAAATGAGGTCCTTCATCTGATACATGTTTACATGTGGCCTTTTTAAGTGGGATTAACCTAAAATCACCATTTTTAAGGTGCATTAAGGGCACGCATGTTCACACATGCGTGCCCTTAATGAGCCTTAAAAATTACGATTTTAAGATAATCCTGCCTAAATTTGATACCTGCTTAAAGCAAGTACCAAATTTAAGCTGGCATAGCTAAGTCACATTAGCCCACATGTAGATGCTTGATGAGCATTAATGCAGCTACATGTGGACTAATGCAACTTAGCTGTGCCAGACTAAATTTAATGTGCATTAGCACATCTACCAGTAGATGTGAGCCTAACTTGCCTTAGTGTGCCTTAAACAAAGGCACGTTACTTTTAGGCGTGCATAACTACATGTGCAGACATGTCTAGTGTCTCCATTTATGCACCCTTTAAATGGAGAGAAGGGTAATAATGATCAGTTTAAATATTACAGTGAGGTTTAATCCATTCATGCATCTTTGAAAGGAAACATCTCAAGAGATGCCAAGTCCTGTAAAAACATGTTTCCCCTTCTCTGGGCCCTAAACAATTATGCAAACTAAGACCAAACTTTTTACCATTTTGGATGCTGGGAAATTTCAGCCTCAAGCTCAAAATTTAACCATGATTTCTAATGGCTGGACACTGCACTTAAGATTAATGGCCACGTAATGCATTTTTGTGTGCACGACAGGTTTCCCCTACGTCTAATCCATGGAGGATATAAAAAGCTTTAAGCCCTCCTCAACCCCTAAGCCGCAGATCTGGAGATCCGTAGATCAACCCCCCTTGTACTGACTGAGAGGTAGCCCACAGCCCCAGTCCTTTGATGGGCATACAGCTATATTATACATCATTCCTGCGTTGGAATTACAACTTCCATCCTCTAATACTGTGTACAGCCTTGTTTTAATTCTGGAAAAAAAAATTCAATTCAGGATTACTTAACAGTCAATTTGACATTTACAAAACTATGTTTTCTTAACGCTAGAACTGGCTGTAAAAACTCAAGTGATGTTTCCCTATCACTACGTAATGACACCATCTGGTAGCTCGTGATTAGTAGGTTTATCGTAGAGACGCAGTTTTTAAATAATTGCTTCATAGCTGGCTACCATATCTGGTGAGGCAAGTAGAGCTCATCAGGGACACATATATATATATATATATATACACACACACACACACATATAGATATATATATATATATCTATATGTGTGTGTGTGTGTATATATATATATATCTATATGTGTGTGTGTGTGTATATATATATATATCTACATACACACACACACACACACACACACACACATATAGATAGATAGATAGATAAATACACACAGTGCAGCTATAGAGATAGAGATAGAGAATCTAGTGACCATTGAGAACAGCTCGCGACTCCAGGGAGGACAGCTCAGGTCCATGGGGGTTATAGATCAGCTCAGGTCCATGGGGACTAATATATTAGTTAGTGAGCTGTTTCCAATAGTCACTAGACAACAAGACACGGGGCTACAGGTCTTTCCTTAGTGTTAGCTCCAAACCCAGAACATTTAGATGGATTCAAGTAACTCCCCCCACACCAACACACATTATATTCCTCTTTCAGATGCCTCAGTCAGCACCTCCCAGCCTCCTTGGAGGACTTGGCCTGAAACCACAGCTAAATGGGCTGCTGGCTTTGGTCACTGTTTCTGCCTATGAGCAAGCCAGAAAGGTGGGAAAACCTCCTGAGAAAACCTGCTCTTATGAGCAAGTTTGCAGCCAAACTCTTGGGTGTTGGTCTCAAACAACTCCCCAGCATCTGGCTTTTCTTCAGGCAAAAACAAACAAAAAAAAATATTAAAATCTCAGCATCTCCTCTCTGCAGTTCATTTCTTGGCCACATTAACACGGCAACAAATGAGCTTGTGCATCTGTGCATCACTGTCCCCCGAGCTGCTGGAGTGGGAGTTGCCCAAGGACCACGGGCTCCCATTCCTGGGGCCAGGTTGAGCTCCGTGGCTCTTGGGCAGGTGGCTTTGGTGCCCGTGAGTGATAAGCACAAAGTTGTCGGCGAGCAGAGGTTTGTTCTGATGCAGGAGTAGGAAGAGAAGGAGCGTGTGAATCAGCCGGTGCGTGCTGCAGCTTTGTTTTACACTCCAGATTGCTTACCTCCTTGCTTGCTTAAAAAGGAGAAAAAAGAATTGGCAATAAGTGAGCTTGGAGATGTTGCTTTTCAGAGCCAGAGGAGTGCGTGTCCTATTTTTCTCTCCCCCCGGCCCCTCCCTCGCCCCCCTGCTGATGTTCTCCATCCAGCTCCTCTGTAATTAGTGTACACTTCAGTGTCTTTTATAGACCAGGCTCATTCCAGGGATTGACCTTCTCCATGCTTCACATCCCCTTGCATCCATCAGAAAATGCTGTGCATGCTAAATCCAATTCCCTCAGGGGGCCTCTCCCTGCTGCTTCTGGCTCCAGCTTTGACGGGTTCACCCAAATTACTGGATGGTGGCTTCTTAAATAGCAGGGGACTGGCAAATGCTGGAATATGACAGGCCAAGAGGGGAGGAAAGGACCCCATGTGAAGCACCCCCCAGCCTCCGCTGTTGGTGGAGCGTGGCGGAAACACCCGAGTCCTCGAGCAAAGCAAAGGCTGCTGCAGGGTGGAGGGAGTTTGTGTCTGAAGTAGCGCGGGAGAAGCGCTCGTGGTTGTGCGCACTCTGCAAATCCAGGCAGGTCCTCCAGAGAAGGGTGGACAGGGAGATGATAGATAGATATAGCCATTCAGCTGACTGGCCAGAAAATGCAGGGCACCTTGAGGAAGCCCCTGTTTGAGGGAATGAAATGATTAGGTGAGGAAGGGCGTTATAACTCACAGAACCATCTCTTTAATGGCCTGGATGCTTTTTCCTTTTTAAATCTACCTGTGGTCTGTATATAGCCCTGACTCACATGGCATCCCAGGGGTGGAAAGAACTTCCTCTGTCATCTACAGAGATTCGGGATATACCATACGTAAACCAACTCTGACGGGTGTCTGTCCAGCCTCCTCCGAAAACCTCATGGGATTGAGATCCCACCACTGTCCTGAGCAGTTTGGTCCACCCTCCTTGAGCATTTGAAGAAGTTGTGTAGAAGTTTCCCCATGACAGTTCGTCTAAATCTGCTTTGCCGTGGTTTAAACCCATTACCCCATGCCCTGCCCTCTGTGGCAAGGGAGGATATTTTTTTCTCCGTCTTCTTTACGGCAGCCTTTCTTGTACTTCAAAACTGTTATTGCTCTCTCTTTATCATCTTTTCTCCAAGCTCACCAGGGTGAGCTCCGTCAGCCATTCCTCCGCTGCTGTTCCCACCCCTGCAACATCTTGGCTGCCCATCTCTGGGTCCTCTACGGCAGGGATGGGCAAAATGCAGCCCACCAGGCCAGTCTATCTGGCCTGTGGGGCCCCTAAAAATTTTATAAAATTAAGTTATCTGCCCCTGGCTCCCTGTCATGCGGCCCTCGATGGCTTGCCAAAACTCAGTAAGTGGCCAAAATAATTGCCCGCCCCTGCTCTATATTTTCTCCGCATCCTTTGCAGACCAGTATTTGAGCACCTCTCCCTCTCTTCCCATCACTCTTATGAAGCAGGGAAGTGTTACTGTCCCCATTTTATACACAGGGAACCCAGACATGGGAAACATGCGTGGCTTGTCCAAGCTGCACACAAAGTGAGCAAGGAACTGAATACAAATTTCCTAAATCCTAGCTGAGGGTATTAACCACCGAACCATCTGCCCATGCCACCTTTTTTAGATATTGAGGCCCCAATTCAAAAAAGTGCTGGTCTTCAAGCACATGTGAATGGCCTACTGACTTCCAGTGCTCAGCTGAATAGGATAGGATGACCTGGTATTGCGTGAACCACTCTCCAAAATGTTAATATTACAAAAAGCAGGGTATCCATGGCCTTTTTAGCATTGGCACCAATGCTCTGAGCATGGCACGCCCACCTGCTCCTGCTCCCTCTCTCCATTTAGGCTGCTCCTATGGGGATCCATGTAAAACCATGCCCGAGACCTTGGTCCCCACTATACTTGGATGTGGTCACTAGAGGCAACCCCCCACCCAAGTGTGCAGTATGTGAGAGTATATGGGTGGGGTGTCTACACAGCACCTGCTTTGGTGCAGACAGACCCTCTCGAAGCCCAGACCTGAACCACAGCTCGTGCACAAGCTATGGTTTGTTGCAGAAACTACTGCAAGTCCATGACTTGTGCAACACACATCATGATCTTAATATTCCCTTCTGGCCTGAGAACCTAAAAGCATGGGATATCCTGGGCTTTGGGCCCAGGCAATTATTTGGGAAGATATTATACAGCTGAGAGAGAAAGAGGCAACCTCTTCTTGCCATGGTGATTTATTTCAGCGATGACCTGGCAACACTGGGACCGAGGAAAGCTGGAAGAGCTGTTTCCAGCAGGGAAGGATCTTGGCAAAGCTGCTTCTGGTGACATCTTTTTCATTGCAGTCAGCTGAAGATCACCCTATTTGATGGAAGAGGCTCCTCTGTGCCCTCTCAAAAAGGCTGGGAGGAGTCCAAAGTGGTGTCTTGTCTTATAATGACTGATTTCTGTATCTCTCTCTCTGTTGCTATTAGTCTCCCACTCCTCCTCCAGAAGTTCCCCTAAAAGATGATCTGTGTTTAATGACGATGAAACCTACAGGGCACATCTCTCTGAAATGTGCAACGTCCCATGTCTCCACCTGCTACCCACTCCGCAGACCAAGAAAACAAATCTTCCTGCTGAAACATGCTGCTTTCATTGTTGCCTGCCCGCACGCAGCCTCCAAGCCCCGAACAAGTCGCCACAGTCTGCGGCATTAAAGAGAGCAAAGCGATGCACCAGCCAAAAAGAGTGATTGCGTTGTATTGTTCCAGCTTCCCTGACCCTTGCATTAAGATAAGGTGTTTCAAATCTTACCCTCTCTGGGAGCAGCCTAATTCGTTCTCCTGGAAAAGTTTATCATCAGGGGGATGCTGAGACCGCTGAGCAGAAGAAAGATTTCTGGCTGCTGCTCGCAGTAGTTGTAACTAGGGATGACCTCCGTGTTTCTGAAACACGGGCTCTGTACTTGGCAACCTGCTGATACTTTTGAGTCTGATCTCAATTATTTCCCAGATAATACATATAAGGCTGCCACTTAAAGCTGGGATGATCAGGGTACAGCCCTTTCCCTGGTCTGCTTTAAGTATGCTGATGTGCAGCAGAAAAATAGCTTCAACTACGAATTAGCTCCTTGAAGGAACTGAGACCTTGACTGAGACCACAAGTTGCCCTTGCCCAGAAGGAGGGTAAAGAGGGTAAACTGTTCCCTCCCAAACTATCTGTATGGGGGGGAAAGTAATTATGCACAACCAACACATGGTCCTCTGGGGCAAGAGGCCCCAGAATCCCCTTGTCCCAGGCTGAACAGGAAATAAAGCCATGCTGTAAAAAACACATGCACGCTGGGCACGTCTACACGAGACGTTTACTATGTAGTTGTCTAATTAGCTCTGCAGTAAAACATCTCAGTCTACATGTGAAGTCCTATTAGGATGGAGTAAACTAATTAACTCTGCTGTAGGATAGTACTGCCCAAGTCAAGTACTGTCCTAAAGCAAAGTTATTTACTTCACCACAATGCACATGTAGATGTTGACAGGGCTGCTTAGGGCATGACGGTGCTTCAGTGCAGGGGCTGCCTGCTGGCTAGCCTGGAGCACTGCCAGGCTGGCACAGGCTGACCCCCTGGGTCCCCTGCCAGCCAGGGCTGCTCCAGCCCAGCTCAAAATGCTGCAATCCTGGGTGCACGTGCAAACAGCATGCCCAGGAGCAATAAGAAGTGCTGCAAACTGCACCGGAGCTTATTCAGGCATGCTAATGCATGTGTTGATGCACCCACTGAGCGCTCATTAATGCTGCTCAAAAAATCAAAAGAAAGATACATAGAACATGTCAGCTTTTCACAGGCACTTGCCTTTTTGCTTTTAGGGGTTGCAAAGGACCCTTTAAACATTTCTTTTACACAGTAAAATCTTTAAAATATGTTAACGGCGGGACTGGTGAAAGAATTTCTTCTAAACCAGGGCTGTCCGACTGGCCACCCAAGGGCAACATGTGGCCCTGGAAGGATTTGCATGCGGCCCTCAGGTTCCCGGCATGGCTGTCGCTACCTCCCCCTCCCCTTGTTGCTCCTTCCCTGGAAGCTGGCTTTTTCGGGTTCCCCCACCCTCTTCTGGCTCCTGCCCCAGCTCCTGGGGGATAGGAGGGGAGTGGGATGCTGTGCTTGGGGGGGGGGGG